TCTGTTAACTTATTTTATATATGAATATTTCTGTTCAGTGCCCTGAGACGACTTCTGTTGTGACTTGGCGCTATAGAAATAAACGGAATTGAATTAAATCTCTGAACCAGATTCTACATAAACATCTATATTTAAAATGTTATAGGTTTTCTTCATCATTTGATGTACAGTATTTGCACTCATTGTGTCTATTTTTATTGTTCAATTTAGATATGTGGTTTTGTTTCTTGTATACAGATTATTTTATTTTAGTTTTGATTTAAAGTTTAATGCTTGTTTTGTGATTTGTTCATCTGTGGGTTAGAATAAAGTTGAACCAAAGGCTGCGTCTCTTCTTTAAACATGTTAGAGGGAAATATTCCAGAGAGATCCAATAATTTTGTGTCTTTTTATGATTTTTCAGCTGAGTTAACCTTAACAGATTACAAGTAATAGTTATTAGTAATTAGTTATTAGTTAATAGTCATTAAAATGAGAAATAGATTTCATGATCTTCACAGATAAGAAAAAAAATTTTTAAATACACAAAATGTTATTTTAATAGTTTCCATCCTCCAGGTCTGCCCATCTGCCGGGATCAGGGTTTGGCCTTCTTGATCACGTGAGTCCGGGTTTTGGACCCCGACCTTCTGTGAGTCAGCAGCTCGTATGATCCTCCGCAGTGACCAGGGGAGCTCGGAGCCAGAGAGACGACCTGAGCGAGCTCCGAAGCTCCGGTGGAGGACCGGGAAGACCGGCGAAGCTACACCTAGCTCGCTCTGAATTTTGTCGTCGGCCAATAAGCACAAAAAACACCTGGACTTCATCATTAGACCACGGTGTTGTCACTATTGTTTTTAAAATCTTAAAAATAGATCCAGCCGCTGCTCTGAGATACGAGTAATTGCAAATGGCAGATCAGTGTTTTGAAAAGTTTTTGAATGATCCAGTGACTCCTCCCACTGATCAGTCAGTGACCGACAGTGTTCTGACATCACGTTTTTGTGCCAGCTCGCTTGGTCCCCTTGAGAAGAAGGGACCAAAAAGGGGGCCAGCTCCACAAAAAAAATGACTGTGGAAAAGCGCTTGAACCTGTACCGAACTGACCGGAACCAGGCTGAAGAATAGTTGTGGAAAAAGCCCATAAGATCACCTTATGACGAGGAGATAGTCTTTTTTTTTTTTTTTTTTTTTTTTTTCCAAAAAAATCTAAATGACCCTAACAGATACTGCAAAACCATCAAATCTTTCTCAGGCAGCCCCCACTCATCTGATCTCCCATCACAAATTCTTGTTAACTCTGTTCCTGTGTCAAACAAGCACAAGATCCTGACCTGTTTCAACAAACATTTAGTTGCTTCTAGTTCTTTATTTGAAACAGATCAAGTTCAAGTTCAAGTATCTTTATTATCCCCGAGGGGCAATTAGTTTCACAGTCAGGAGATGTGTACATATACACACACATGCAAATACACACACATACACATATATACATACGCATACAGGTCCTTCTCAAAAAATGAGCATATTGTGATAAAGGTAATTATTTTCCATAATGTAATGATAAAAATGAAACTTTCATATATTTCAGATTCATTGCACACCAACTGAAATATTTCAGGTCTTTAATTGTTTTAATACTGATGATTATGGCATACAGCTCATGAAAACCCAAAATGCCTGTCCCAAAAAATTAGCATATTTCATCCCACCAATGAAAGACAAGTGTTTTTAATACAAAAAACGCCAACCTTCAAATAATCATGTTCAGTTATGCACTCAATACTTGGTCGGGAATCTTTTTGCATGAATGAGTGTTGGGTCTTGGTCTCTCAACTTTCTCTTCACAATATCCCACAGGTTCTCTATGGGGTTCAGGTCAGGAGAGTTGGCAGGCCAATTGAGCACAGTAATACCATGGTCAGTAAACCAGTTACCAGTGGTTTTGGCACTGTGAGCAGGTGCCAGGTCATGCTGAAAAATGAAATCTTCATCTCCATAAAGCTTTTCAGCAGATGGAAGCATGAAGTGCTCCAAAATCTCCTGATGGCTGCATTGACCCTGCCCTTGATAAAACACAGTGGACCAACACCAGCAGATGACATGACACCCCAGTGACTGTGGAAACTTGACACTGGACCTCAAGCAATGTGAATTCTGTGTCTCCTCTCTTCCTCCAGACTCTGGGACCTTGATTTCCAAAGGAAATGCAAAATTTACTGTAATCAGAGAACATAACTTTGGACCACTCAGCAGCAGTCCCAGGCGAGATGCTTCTGACTCAGTCTCTTGTTCAAGAGTGGCTTGACCTGGGGAATGCGGCACCTGTAGCCCATTTCCTGCACACGCCTGTGCATGGTGGCTCTGGATGTTTCTACTCCAGACTCAGTCCACTGCTTCCGCAGGTCCCCCAAGGCCTGGAATCGGCCCTTCTCCACAATCCTCCTCAGGGTCCGGTCACCTCTTCTCATTGTGCAGCGTTTTCTGCCACACTTTTCCCTTCCCACAGACTTCCCACTGAGGTGCCTTGATACAGTACTCTGGGAACAGCCTATTCCTTCAGCAATTTCTTTCTGTGTCTTACCCTCTTGCTTGAGGGTGTCAATGATGGCCTTCTGGACAGCAGTCAGGTCGGCAGTCTTACCCATGATTGCGGTTTTGAGTAATGAACAAGGCTGGGAGTTTTTAAAAGCCTCAGGAATCTTTTGCAGGTGTTTAGAGTTACGTCGTTGATTCAGATGGTTAGGTTAATAGCTTGTTTAGAGAACCTTTTCATGATATGCTAATTTTTTGGGACAGGCATTTTGGGTTTTCATGAGCTGTATGCCATAATCATCAGTATTAAAACAATTAAAGACCTGAAATATTTCAGTTGGTGTGCAATGAATCTGAAATATATGAAAGTTTCATTTTTATCATTACATTATGGAACATATTGACCTTTATCACAATATGCTAATTTTTTGAGAAGGACCTGTACATATATTTAAGTTTTTCATTCATTAATTCATTCATTCAATCTTTATTTCTATATGTAAATCCCAATGAGCCTCGAGGACTCATTTACAAGAGAGACCTGATTTCAACAAATGAAGATGACAACAATGGACAGTTTTAAAAAGTCATACAGTCATACAGATTTTTTTTTTACGAATAGGATGGCTAAAAAAAAGAAAAGTAACAAAAAACTGCTAGATTCTAAGGCTAATGTAGAAAACTAAAAACAGGAACATGTCTGCATTGGTCCCTGCCAGGAGTCCAACAGATTCTTAAAGTCACTTAGAGAGGTCAAAGGTCGAGAGCTTCAAAACTTTTTGTAAGATATTCCAGGAAACAGGAGCGGAGTAGGAGAAGGTCCTTTTGTCTAGTTCAGTCCTCACTGAGGGAACACTGCAGGTAATAATGTCCTGAGAGCGCACGCTGTAGCTGCACTCACACAGAGACATGTAGGAGGAGATGTATGAAGGCAGCAGACCAGGAAGTGATTTAAAGATGAAAATGTACCTGTGAGAGAGTCTGTGTGAAGTTAATGGTGACCAGTTAACCAGTGATTACTGGGTGCAGTGGTGGGTACGGTAGTTACAGCCAGTTATGAATCTTAGTGCACCAAGATAGACAGCATCCAACATCTGCAGCATCCAACATCTGCAGGGTTCTTGTAGGAGCGTTAATTTAAATAATGTCACCGTAATAAATGGGAGGAAGGAAAGTCACAGATACAAGGTGTTTTCTAGAGTTCAGGGTTAGACAGGATCTGGTTCTGAAAAAGAAACCCAGTTTAACTTTCAGTTTCTTTACCAAGTTTTCCACATGGAGCTTAAAAGAGAGATGCGAGTCGATCAAGATACACAAATATTGATAGGAATCAACAAACTCAAAGGGGGCACCATTTGAGGATGAAATCAGAGGAAGAACTGCTGGGACCGACTTCCTATTTGAAAAAAGCATCCCTTTGGTTTTGTCGGCATTTAGGACAAGTTTGAGGCGAAACAAATCAGTCTGGATGATGTTGAATGCAGATTTCAAAAGCTGGAAAACCTTATCAACTGTTTTAGCTCGACAATAAACAACTGTGTCATC